TCGTAATTGTTAGCTAGGGGGAGCAACACCCGGGTGAAGCCTTCTCAATTAGTATCAAATCCATTTTGCATTTGCAAAGTACTTTAGTTTTAGACCTTTGTTTTCACCAAAACTAATCCGCTAGATAATGTTTCAAACATTCGAAGTAGCGGTACATGGGTCGGCCTGGGTCGATATTTAAACATACTTTCCCTATATTGCACCCATCTAAGGTTTATACTTGGGCCTTAGGTGGGATTTTATTGTGATAGTTAGCGCGAATCAATCACCATCCGTAGGGTTGAAATTATAACTGAGTTTTACAATGATTGTGAGTAAACGCACATGCTCCTAAAAGTATAATTATATGCTTCTAAAAATGGTTTATATCCAACAGATTTATAATTTGCCTTTATGATATGAGTTTCTGCCCCTAAAAAATTCATCATATAAGATAGTTTTATAATTTGCATCTATTGATTAACTTATGTAATTTTAGCGGCAAAATTCCCACGCTCAGATCCATTCCATCACCCCTCAATCTTCAAAAAATCTCCTCCCTTCTGCCGTACGTTCTCCATCTTCCCCATTTTACTCTCATCATTTATCACGCTCTCTTCGTTCAAATAACTCTGCGTATCAGAATTTGGGTGGTGAAAATCGATATATCCTTCATGATGGGTGACCAGGCCGAGCCCATTAATATTATTATTATTGTTGTTTTATTATTATTATTTGTTGGAATATTCAGTTATTATTCGGGTTATTCGTATTAGTTTGGGTCTAGGATTATTATTATGTATCTTGTTTAGGAAGTAATCGTTTACTTGTTGCTTTAGGTTTGGGTTTCCTTGTCTTAAGAGGAAAGGAGTTTGTAGGATTAGTCCTATAAATATGTACCTTTGTTCTTCGTTTTATGAAGTCGATCAATAAAGTATTAGTAGTTAGTAGAGAAAAGTAGCTCTTTTATCGTGTTTTCTAGTTCTTTCGTTAAATCGTTCGAGATCACCGGTGCGCGAAATCCCGTTCCGCATCAATTGGTATCAGAGCCTGGTTGCGAGGAACCGAGCTCGACGATGCTCGCATATAGGGCATGCTTTCCGCCGATTGATGAGAGGTCTTGCATCATTCAGAAGCAACTGGACGAATGCAGAAGATTGTTGAGGGATGAAGTTGTGCAGCTTGTCGATGGAGAACCACCGATCGAGATTGACGAGCCCCCGGATAAATCTCCTATTCTGGCCGCTGCAGAGATCTCATTGTCCGCTCTCACCGACATCTACAGTCCCACGATTATCCGCTTCAACACAACCGTCCATCAAGAATCAGTTGTTGCCCTCGTGGACAGTGCATCCTCGCACAACTTTGTGAGTCGTGAAGCTGCCAGTAGGTTGTTCTTGATAGCTACTCCAATTCTGCCTTTCAAAGTTAAGATCACCAATGGAGACTCCATAATTTGTGAATGATGTTACAAGATGGTCTCACTTGACGTACAAGGGGTTCAACTTGAAGAGGATTTGTACGAACTGCCGCTGCGGGGACTCCACGTTGTTCTCGGAGTTCATTGTCTTAAGAGGTTGAGCCCGGCCACAATTAATTGGCAGCTGATGACGATGCGCTTCAAATACAAAGGGGCATGGGTCACGTTACAGGGAACCATTGTTCCTAACAAAAGGACTGCAACCGCCTCCGCGCCTCTCAACTCTCTGGCGAACGACAAGAAGCAGAGCCTCCATCGAATTGAAGAGCTAAAAGGTGGCGGACAGGTTGACAACGACAATTCTGAATCCGACGCGGAATCATGCTGCGGTGAAGAAGAAGATATGGACAACACAGATGACGACGATGATTCGAATGATGAAGACGGCGGGAGAAAGGAGGGAGGAGGCGACGGTGACAGAGACCTCAGGGCTGATCCGTTGGCGGAGATGGAAACGATGAAGTTGGCGACCAACGATCAAAGGCCAATTGACGTAATGAATAATACTTGGGCCAACATAGGGGTGCCGACTTGTATGACATTGCCGATGAAGGTTCCCACCTCTAAATCCTTGATAAACAGCATAAACCCAAGTTTTGTGGATTTTGGGGAGACACAACCCAACATCGGGAAGCAATTTCCATCAGCCACTTGTTTATTGGACCAACCGGGAGAAGCAAGTAAAAGACCTCGGTGAACCCCAAGGCATCGTGGGAAGTCGAGGGTTGGTTCGTGGCTGTATCGGACCGAGCATGGGTGGCCAAATCGGGGCGCTGTTGTATGGGGTTGATCCGAAGATCAAAAGCAGAGTTGCTACTCAGGGGTTGATTGGTTGTGTCACCAATGTCGTCGTCGCCCAAGTGAGAGGATGCGAGCGACCGAATCCAACCCCATTGATGGAGGGATTGCGAGACGCGAGCCAAAGGTTGGAGGGCCAGGACTGAGCCGAATTGATGGGGAACCTCTGTATTTGGGTGACATTCTGCTGTCTTCCAAGGGCGTGGGGTTTAATGGGGTTGTGGGGAGAGATTTTTCTCATGCATACGTGCATGACTTGGGTGGAAGCATGCATGAGAAATGGCTTGTGGAAAATGAACCCATGCACGGGAATGTGGAAGAGGTTGATGTATTCGGTGGCGGGCGCTTGGGTCTAGGATTATTATTATGTATCTTGTTTAGGAAGTAATCGTTTACTTGTTGCTTTAGGTTTGGGTTTCCTTGTCTTAAGAGGAAAGGGGTTTGTAGGATTAGTCCTATAAATATGTACCTTTGTTCTTCGTTTTATGAAGTCGATCAATAAAGTATTAGCTCTTTTATCGTGTTTTCTAGTTCTTTCGTTAAATCGCTCGAGATCACCGGTACGCGAAATCCCGTTCCACATTACTTCTCCAGGCAGATCAATGGACGAGTTCAGAAGGCATCGTTAAGGAGCTAGGACGAAGGTTGCTAGCAAAGAGGAGAGACAGAATGATGCAAAGAGATAAGTAAAGCTATTGCGGTGTGCGTAAGAGTGTCATCACTGACAAAGAAGACAAAAGTGGCTACTCATCGGAAAGGTCGCATAGATGGACGCTGAGCCGAGCATGCCGTCTTCGTGGAAACTTAGGCCCTAAACTTATTCAGATCCCTATATATCTGTTTGATTGAATGTATTTTCAATTGTGGGTTAAGGTTATGTGTTTATCACAGTGAGGTGCGATTTGGAGGCTTTATATTTTTCGTTTTTGGTTTGATGGCTAGATTGATTACTTTAGATGTATTGCGTAGCAGGTGGCTCCATATACTCTTCTATCGCAGGAGTATTGTTATGTATTATGATATCCTCCTTGTGTATTCAAATAAATAATCATTTGATTTTATTATATTTATTAATTGTTAATTAGTTTTTTTTATTTCAAATGAAATTTAAAATCTGTGGATCTAATAATTAATTGCATAAATAATGTATATAAAATGAAAATAATATTATTTACCTCTAGAAACTCTAGCAGAGGCAGATTTTTATGGCTCGTAAAGATTATTTTTATAAATAAAAGTGTTTGCCGCTAATTTACATTTTTTAGGCTGAATTTTGTGGCCTTAAAATTGGTATTAGCAGCTGAAATGTTAGTCGCTAGATCTCTAATCAGGAGCATATATTATTTGTCACTATATTTGTCTCTATAGGGCTAATAGAGTATTTGAGGCAAAAGTATTATTTGCCTCTAAATAATTGTACAGGCAAATTTTCTCAGCTTCTATAGACATGTTCTCTTGTAGTGAGCCAATAAAGTCTCATGTCACTAGTGCACCTCCACTGCATGTGAGGAAAAGAGAGACGACGTCTGTATCACAACCGACGGCGCGGTAGTGGTAGACGATCATGAAGAAGAAAAGGCGCTCGATCTTCTCCATTGAAAGATGGCTAGTTTTAGGAAAACTAATGAGGGGAAAAACACTAGGTAGGATCCAGTGGAAGTCCCCCCAGGAGGCCTCCTAGAGTTGCCTTGTAACCACCTTCAAGAACTTTGGCGGCTCGTTTGCAAAGGGGTGACCACTGCACCAAATTAGCAGGTGATACCTGTTATCCTCTATAATAGAGAGGACCAATTTGATCATCTCCGTGATGATGAGAGTTGCTTAGCAACAACCAAACTGTGCAGCTCTGCTTAGGAATTGAAGAACAAAACGAGGAAGAAAGAGCAGAGCAGAATGGCAGCGCTCGGTGTAAGTGTCACCTGAAACGTAGCACTTCAACAACGGATTGGAGTTTCAAGTTTAATTGTAGATAATACACGTGTATAGATTCTATTGGTATATATTTATTTGTTATTTTCTATTAACCGTTAATGTATAGTTATTAGCAGAAACCCCTTGCATATATTCAATTGTTTCATCAATAGAAAAGCTCAGTGAGAAAATTCCCCAGATCTCGTTTTCTTCTCATGGTATCAAAGCCTGATTTCTCTCAACCACATTAGAGTTTCGTCCCCTAGCCTTCTCACCCTTCTTCTCTTCCAAATTCCTACAAACAAACATCGCTAGAGAATCAGATGCTTCCACAGCCAAATGTGCACAAAGCTCAACCACTTCTACCTATGAAGACCCTTATCTTAACCCTTACTACCTTCTGCCTCAAGATGGTGCTCTGCCCACCATCATTTGTGTGAAGCTCGTTGATGGGAACTACCACACATGAGCCAGGGGATGCTTGTAGCTCTGGCCACAAAAAATAAGTTTGCATTCATCGATGGCACCATTCTTATGCCCAAGGTAAGTGAACGTTCTTATCAGTCACGACTTTGTTGCAATGGGACTATTCGTTGCTGGATTTACAATTCTTTAGTTGAAGACCTAGCGAATAGTGTCATGGGTTTGGAGAGTGTACAGGCTGTGTGGAAAAATCTGAAGAACGGATTTAGTCAAGAGGATGACATTAGGGTTTATGATTTACAGGGTCAATATGCTAAATGTGTTCAAGGAGTAGTTAGTACTTCACCAACATTATTGTGTTGTGGGAGGAGTTGAAGATATATAGTCCAATACCTTTTTGCGCTTGCAACACCCCGTATGAAACAATGAAGAGGTATTACGAAAATGACTTTGTCATCAAATTCATGCAAGGCTTGAATGAAATGTAGCAATCTTCTAAGACACAGGTTCTTATGAACTCAACATTACCCTCAATTGATGTTGTTTTTAAACAAATCTTGCAACTTGAGAGACATATGAAGAGTGTTCATAAAAAAATGAGTGGATTCAGTTGCATTGGCAGTTGGTACACCTCAGAATGCCAATTCTAACAATAGAGACTACAAGGATGACAAGAAGTTTTGTAGGTATTGAAAGAAAGACAATCACATTATCCGTGAATGTTATAGGCTGAAAAACAAGATGACGAGGGAATCTGGTGGTTCAAGCTTTGCTGGTTCCGTTGAAGCAGACACTGATTCTGAATCTGGCATTCTAGGAGCACCATCAGTGCATCATGGTACATCAAGCAGGAACAACTCAACCAGTTTGGCTAGTCTCCAATTCAGCAATGACCAGATAGATAGGCTGAGGATGCTACTGCTTGGATCACCATCGTCATCTCTTTCTCCACCTACTACACCATCAACCAGACATGCTACAAATGCATCAATCACTACTCAGAAACAACCTGATCATTCAAGAGCCACTTAGTATCACCGAGTCTACTTACCTTCCAGTTCAGGTACAACAGTCCTCTCAACCCTTTTGGCTAGCATAGTGGAACCATTGTGGGTTCTAAACACAGATGCTTCAGATCACCTAATTTGTGATTTGACATACTTTTTAAAATTCAGAACTTTACCGGGAGTTTATGTCAACTGGCCAAATGGTAACAAAGTCCAGGCCACACGCATAGGCATAGTTAAACTTCCTTGTGGACTTTTTCTTTCTCAAGTCCTGTTTGTGCCTAGCTTTAGTTACAATCTTGTTCCAGTCAGTAAACTCACCAAAAACAACCTTGTCACACTTTTTTTAAATCATCTTTCTGTGTCATCTAGGACCTTATTACACAGAGGAGGATTGATTTAGCCCAAGTGGATAAGGGCCCTTATCTGTCTAATGAAACCAAACTCACCACCCAAGACTGTCATTCCCCCACTCCAAAGTGTTTTGTTGCTTCTCAACTCAATTTTTAGCCTCAAAGTTTTAATCTCTGGCATGCCATATTGGGTCACCCTTAAATTTCTAAGATAGAAACTATACACAAACACTGTCCAGATATATTAGTTTCTAAGATTGTCCATTGTGATGTTTGTCACTTGTCTAAACATAAAAGGTCTCCATTTCCAGTTAGCACTTCAGTCCACTCTTCTTTGTTTGGTTTACTTCATGTAGACATATGGGGGGCCTTTGAGCACCACTTCTTACAATGGTTTCAATTACTTATTAACCATTATTGATGATCTAAGTAGATGTCTGTGGACCTATTTAATGAAGTCTAAGGATGAATCTAGAGCTTTATTACAGTCATTCTGTGTTATGGTGAAAAACCAGTTCAATAAATCCATTTATATCATCAGAACAACTCAATGAATGGAATTTCATATGGATGATTTCTACCGAACTCATGGAATTGAACATCAAACGAGTGTAGCTCGCAGAATGGAAGAGTAGAGAGGAAGCACTAGTATCTTCTGAAAGTTGCAAGAGCCCTAAAATTTCAATCTGGCCTTCCTCTGACCAACTGGAGTGATTTTGTCCTCCATGATGCCTATTTGATTAACAGAATCCCTACTCCAGTCTTAAATAACCAAAGTCCCTATGAAAATCTATATGGTGTTCCACCTGACTACAACTCTTTGAAGGTCTTTGGTTGCTTGGTATATGCTTCTACAGCTGGTCCACACAGAACCAAATTCTCCCCTAGATCTGAGCAGTGTATCTTCTTATGTATACCTGCTGGAATCAAAAGATTCAAACTTCTTGATATTGAACGCATAAAGGTTTTCTGCTTCAGAGATGTTATCTTTCATGAAAATATCTTGTCCTATGCCAATCATTCTTCTACTTCTCTTCCACCTGCTTCTTCTCATCACCAAGCTTTACCTTTTTTCCTACACTTTCTTCATTTCCAAATTCATCATCTAATCCTTCTTCTTCCTCAGATGCTTCAGTTCATGTGGATCCTCAGTCTAATGGGGGCACACAATCTCCCTGTGCGCATTCATCTCATTCACCTATTCCCTTTGTTATTCCCTCGAGTCCCTCTTCTTCCACTTCTCAAACCCATCCTAATGATCCACAAATCAATCATTCTCCTGCCATTCGTACTTCACCTTCACCTTCAGCTTCACCCTTACCTTTTCCCCCAATTTCACTAAACAGTCTTTCCCATCCCCCATCTCATGTCCAACTGAGAAAGTCACTCAGGACAATCAAACCACCCAATTGGCACAAGGATTACCATATGCCTCATCACATTCACAAAGCTCTCACACACACCCATCTGCTGCCTAGACATCATTACTTTATAAATAGCTTGATTGCACATAGTGAACCCTCTTTCTATCAGGAGGCAGCACAAAATCCTCATTGGGATAGTGTAGTTCAAGAAGAGTTGAAAGCCTTAATTGATAATGAAACATGGGAAATCACAGATTTACTAGCAGGCAAGAGGACAATAGGCTGCAAATGGGTTTTCAGAGTGAAATTGCATTCTGATAGATTAGTTGAAAGGTTGGTTTATGGCATAGATTACTGTGATACTTTTTCACCAGTAGCTAAGTTTAGTTTAGTAAAAACCTTACTTGCAGTTGCAGTGATAATTGTCGAAAACATATTGATTTTGTTTGCTTAATGTCATTTTTTCATCATATGTTTGAGACCTATAATACTTTTTTGAGGTCCAACTAAGCCTGGAATGGTTATAAAACCATTACCATCAAGTGCCAAATGTTATATATATTTCAGGTAAATGAAACGAGAAATTTGCATTGGTGGATAGAATAATTCAAGTGGACTGGATGTACATTGGACCGAAACTTACTGAGGAGTTGAACCGGGATTGGGCTTGGGCTGGACGATTTGGACTTGAGTGAAATTCTTTTTGGAGGCGGAACAAAAGAAATGAAACTGTGGGGGGAAATATTTGGCCAGGGGGATTTGGCAATTAAAGTTCGACACGGAATTTGGGAAGGAGACGGAAGCTTGGGGGTCTTCTAATTGATCTGGGCGGCCATTAATTGGGGGGAGTGAGTTGAATTGGCTGGGGAACTTCCTAAGGGGAACAGCAGCAACGTAGCGACGAGGGCAAAAAGCAGACAAAGAGGGCGCAGGAAAAGAGGGCAAATAGCAGTGTATCGAGCAGCCGTTGGCGATCTGTTTTTTAAGGCTTGAGCCGAATTCAACGAGAGCGATTAGTTGGTTGGATTCTCTGAACCGAACTAGTTGTGTATTGTTGATTTAGAACATGATGATCAAAACCCTAATGTTTTATCTTAATTTCGTCATGAACTAAACCCCGATTTCTGGGGGAAACACCATAGGATGTAGCTATTTCTTGATTTGATGGATTGATTCATGATTCTTTTCTTCCAATCTCTATTGCATGAAATTACTTAATGCTTTGTGTTGACTGGCCACCAATACAACGATTTGTAGTTAATTAGGTTATTAGCGACAGTGAAACCCTATTAACTGATCATATTTCATGTGACATAGTAACTTATCGAAGCGACAGTGGATTAAATAAGGTACTATGCAGTCTTAAATAGGTATCGATCTTCAGGCTATATAGTTAATTCATTAAGCTACGACAGTAGGATTTGAATCAATTGTTTAGTACGTAGTAATTCCCGACAAGGATAGCTAGCACATTCGTGATATCCTGGCTGTAGATGTATGGATTAAATTGATTGGAATATGTGAATTAATCTGGATAGGATAGGTAGTAAATTCCGGTGTTTCTCCCAGAGCTTTCTCCCATTGAATTTCTCCCGACCATTTTTATTTGCCCATTTTTATTTGCTTGTTTTGTTTAATTATTTTGTTATTAGCTAGTAGTTTCATCACTAAACCATTTCCACCTATAGTTTGCTTCATAAAATCGATATAACATAAGGTTGTACCAGTCCCTGAGAGACGATACTCGGACTTTCCGGTTTACTACGAGATAGGAAATTGGCATCACGCTTTTGCCCTATCAAGTTTTTGGCGCCGTTGCCGGGGACTGCCATACCTTATTTTTGTTGATTTTTGTGAGTGAACTATTTTGATCTGGGTGTTAGTGTGCAGTAGAATTTTCAGGTTTATCCTCCTCGTGCATGCCTAGGAGGACAACTGACAATTTACTGCCACTAGATCCGGAGATTGAGAAGACCTGCCGTCAGAACAAGAAGCAGGTCAAGTTAGGGAAGCAGCCAACCACAACTCCTAGGCCTTCCCTAACCCAGAATCGTCAACCGAGAAGGCAGGTTTCACCACCTGTCATCCCTACACCACCGACACCACCACTGCGCAACATCGAGCCTGTCATCATGGCAGACCAGGATCGTTCGATCAGGGCTCGCTTGAATCGAAGAACTGGAGCCCGAGCTTCATGGGTTGTCATTCCGGCTGGGGATGCAACCATGGAGATTACCCCAGCATTCATCAACATGATCACTAATGGGTATACTTTCTCTGGGGCTAGCAGTGAGGATCCTCACGAGCATCTTCGCCGGTTTGCGAGCATATGTGATATGATGAAGAGCCCAACAGTGTCTGATGATGCAATTCGTCATCGGATGTTCTCATTCTCTTTGATAGGGAATGCATCATACTGGTTTCAGAACTTAACACCACATTTCATCACGACATGGGCTCAGCTTGAGAAGGTCTTTCTAGATAAATACTTCCCACCTGCCTTGGCAATGAAGAGGCAAGAGGAAATTGTTACTTTTAAACAGGCTGATGATGAGAGTCTGACTGAGGCATGGGAGCGCTACAAGGGGCTGTTGATGAGATGCCCAAGCCATGGTCTTAAAGATTGGAACGTGATCATTATTTTCTTCAATGGAATCAGATGGCAATTCCGAGATGCTCTGAATAATGCTTCCCGAAATGGTTTCACAAGGATGGAAGCACCAGAAGCATATGAACCGGTAGAGAAGATATGTTCTGAAGATACTGAATGGGGTAGTGAGACCAGCATTCGAAGGAGAGGAGGCTTGCATGAGATAGACAGAGTTGCAAGTTTAGAAGCAAAGATTGATGCTAAGCTGGATTCAAAGTTCGATGCACTCGAACGAAGGCTGGCTAAGATGGCTCTTGGTAGACAAGAGGAGGTTGCTTTTTTGCGAATTATGTGAAGGTGCTCATCATAGGGATCTATGTCCACTGGTAGCTGATCAGTTGGAAGATGTGCACTATATCAATAATCCACGAAGTCAAGGCCAGGGTGGTATGTATTCAAATACATACAACCCTCAATGGAGACATCACCCCAATATGTCATGGTCAAACAATAATCCAGCTGGTGTTCGAAACATTCCACCTACTGGTTTTCAACAACAGCAGCCTCAACCAGAGAAGAAGCCCCAGCTGGAGGAGTTGATTTTGGCTCATATGCAGAAAACAGACAATAATTTCAAGGGCCTGGATCAATTTGTCACTCAACAGCTAGCCATCAACAATAATTTACAATCGTCTATGCTAGCTATGGAGAGGCAGATGGGACAGATGGCTCAAACTTTGGCAGATATGCAAGGCAGGATTGCTGGGACATTACCGGCTAATACCGAGAGGAATCCAAAGGATGCCATGGTTGTAGAAGTCACATTGAGGAGTGGAAAGGCCTTGGAGGATCCAGCGAGTCCAAGGAAGTCGATAAAATCCAAAAAAGAAGGAGTTACAGAGGTAGAGAATGAAGAAA